TTGCGGCTTGGATTTTCAGAGGCGTACCAGAAATAATAGAGCTGGAAGAGTTTCTTTTTAACCTTTTTGTAAATATCGTCAACTAGGAATTTTTTTCATCAGCTGAAGTTAGGAGAGGTATTTGAGCGAGAGACCGAAATAGTCCAGGAACAGCACGAACTTTCTTCACCACGCCCGTGAGCTGGCTCACAAACGCTTTTTATTACGCGACTATATAACCTAAAAGAAGATCCACAAGGCCACAAAAGTTACCATATTGAGGCGATAAAAGAAAATAAACCATAGTTGCTACGCGAACGACACAGATACATACATGTATGGCAGGGACCGAGGCGAGACGTTCCAGTTTAGGTTTAGTTCTGCATGAGAAAAAAATGTAATGTGAAGAAGTTCCTACAAAAGAACCAAAGAGGAACAAAGAAAACGAGAACAAAAGATTCGGGAACGTTTACGTAAAGAAAAAAATGCGAACAAAACTCTCAGGAACGTTCTCAAGAAGAACAGAATGAAAACGAAACTTTCGGAAACGTTTCCAGTGAGAACAAAATGCGAACGACTGTATAGAGAACGTTTTTAAGGGGAATCAAATAAGAATAAAAGTCTGTGGAACGTTCTGCTAGAGAACAAAACGAAAACAACCGTTTTGAGAACTTAATGTTAAGAATGAAAGGGGTGTCGGCGCGTATTGGGATGAAAAATCGATTGTTAATTCTAAGCCAGAGAAAATCGGGATCATCTCAACTTTCAGATCCCCTATAAAGGGTGAACTATTCAGTATTGAGTCTTTCGTTGATTTAATTTTCATAATTATCTTTCAGTTATTTTTTGATTAATTTTCATATTCAAACATTTCAAACGCTATGTGAAAAATTTTGTTCTCGCTTCCATTCTTCGCAAATAGTTCAGGGAAGATTTGTACCCGTTTCGTTCTCTGTCAGAAAGCTCCTGAGACTTTAGTTCCTAAATTGCTTACGAGAGAAAGTTCCTTAGACTTTTGTTCTTTTCCAAACCGTTCCGGAGACCTTTATTCCCATTTTGTTCTCTCAGAAATGTTCCCGAAAGTATTGTTCCCAATTTATTCTCTTTGGAAACGTTCCACGGGGTTTTTTCTTATATAACTCCCATTGAGAACGTCCTCGACAGTTTTCTTCTCATCTTGGCTTTGGTTTTGAAGCGTTTTTGGGAACAAAACTACGAGAACGAAATTAGGTTTCGAACATACCTTTCGTTCTCGGTCCCTGATCATAGTGCCTATCACAATTATACACCAGCCACATGTTGACAAGTTTTGACTATTAATTTTTTTATTATTTAATTTTAATTGTGCAATTTTATGAAAAACATGTAGTTTATTCCCTGGAAAAGTCCTAAAAAACTTTGGGCAATTGGGTAATAATTTCGAGCTTTTAATTAGATGTCTTAGAAATATTTTGAGTATGCAGTTGTGTAGCCAATTTTAGTATAACAAAATGCAAGTTTGAAGCAGCTAGGACTGACCGCTGATTTTTGGAATTCTTTTATTACATGCACGATTGTTTTATATGGAGGAAATGAGTGATCCTTAAACAAAAAAATGCTAAAAATCAACGGTAAGTGCTTTTCAAAATCTTTCTGAGCAATCTAACCCCATTAAATCTTTGCTAATACTGATATTGAACAAAAAAAAATTTGTATGTAGTTGTGAAAACTTTTTTCGAGTGAAATTCGAAATGAATGCCAACCACTCGCTTTTCCACCTTTCACTGTGTCGCCGACGTTGGCGCATATAAACTAACACACACTTTCCATTTAGATATTTGGATCAAACATAAATCAAATTGTAAGAATCTCTTGCTGGCTCCCCAAAGAGCAATAAAAAATGAGGGAAAAATTACGAATAAAATTGCAAATAAATAGAAAGCAATAAAAAAAAAAACAAAAAAAAAAGTATGCGCATACGCAGCAGGACGAGCGGAACGGGAAATTTGTGATTCTAAACAGTTGGACGGACAAGCAGCTCGCATTTCACTGATTTAATGCATTTCGTTTTATTTTTATTTTTTTCATCGACAAACGCTGCGACGGCTTGTTGCACACACACACATACGCAAATGCACTTGCATCTACATAAAAACATATGCGCACATATGCTTTTGGCATTAGCACAATCAGATTCTTGGCAACGTGCAGCAGCAGGCAGCATACAACTGCCAAGCGAGCAGACAAAACATATGGACAGGTTGGCAAGCAGCAGACGCTGATACAACGACAGTGTGCACGCCGCGACGCTGCGGCCAACATGCATGCATGCGAGTGCATATGCCACTTTGCGGCAATAAAAATGCAACTAAAAAAAAGCAAAAAAAAAAGCAAAAAAAAAAGACTGCAAAGAAATCAAGCGTAACAAAACGTATGAATGCGCATATGTATGTATGTATGTATGTTTGTATACATATAAATAGAGTCATAAACATTTTTAGGTTGCATGTTGCGGCAACAAATTTATGAATTATTATTTGTGGCTGGCAAGCAGCGCCGTACATATTTCGGTTCGTCGGCTCGAGTGGCAGTCAGCCAGCTAGCTAGCTCTAGCCAAGTGCTTTTGAATCACAAATTTACAAATTTAATGGCATATTTTGCAGTCATTGTTGATAATTTATGTAAATTTTTATTTTATGAACTGCAACAATTTTTGCATGAGAAAAGTTTGCAACTAATTTTTAGTTTTTATTTGCAATAAAAATGCGAAAATGTTTAAAATGTATTTTTGTTTTATGAAGCCCATGGCCATTGAGCTGAGCAGAATGTAATGCTCAATTTTTTTTTGCAAGGCACGCAAAAATGAGGTAAACGATATGGCAACATTTGTAACTTTGTTTACTTTTCTTCACCTTTAATATGCTACAAAAAAGTTTTTTTCGAACGCAAATATTTACAACATAACAGCGCCTCAATCGCTCAAATCTTTTTAATTTTTTTTTGCTCACACATTAGCCGCATTGACCTTTCCGGTTCACCGCCACTGTACGGTTTTTAAGTGTCGAATTAAAAAAAACATCATAAATATTTATTTCAAAATTTGAATGAATGAATCTATGAATTTTTAATGCGCACAGCAAACAACGCGTAGCACGTAGCGCATAAAAAATAAAAATAAAAAAATAAAAATGCTAAAAAAAATTATTTAAACGTATCAGTAACACATGCAAAATGAATAACAAGAAAATGTAAATAAGCTAACAGTTACAAAAACAATAGCAACCACGAAGCATTAAAATTCATGCCATACAACCGAACGAAATATCAATGCTGGCAGGCGCGTATTGAAAGGTGCCGTCGCTTAAATTGTGTTGCCACCTGTGCTTCATAATTTTTTATTTTTTTTGTAAATGTTTTATTGCCAAAAATGCTACAAAACAATCTGATTGCCAATAAAAAGAAAAACCAAGAAATCTATGCGAAGCTAAAACTATGCGCGCCGGCGGCTAAATAAAATAAATATGTCAGCAAAAAGTGTAGATATAGAAATTGCGAAACGACAACGCATATTTGCATATTTACGCAGCGAAAAAGAGTAGAAAAATGAAATTAACTTAAAAAGTGTTAACTGCTTAATTAAATAAAGCGATGGTTGAGGGAATGTTGCGACAACTCACAAGTAAAGTGGTGGCGAAGATTGTGAGGCTACGGGCAAATGGGAAGCAGCTGTGTTTTGGTATTTGTGCGCTCAAAAAAGGTGTGTAAGATAGTAGAGATCAGATAAATTTTTGCAAAAGCAACGCGGCTAACTGTATGCCATTTACTTTTGTTTAGAAAGAGAATGCGGAACAAGAAATTTTTAAGCAAAAAGCAAAACGGACTTCAGTTCTCATATAAAAATCTAAGATTATCGTTAATTTCTTCATGATCCACCGATCGGATCTAAACCAAATGGGACGAGCTTTGAGGTACCACCTATCCTTTAAAAAATGATAATTATAGAAATCGGTTAACGTGATCCAAAGTTATGTGGTAATATACATNTCGCTTTATTAGTTCTCGTGCAATAAGCGTTTTTGTGAAGCTCTAAAAATTACAACTACAACATTTGAACATAGCCCCCATACCTTAAGGTAAGACGTATTCTACGTCAAAAAAAAATATTCCGACGAATTGATAACCTCCTCCTTTTTTGAAGTCGGTTAAAGAAAAATAAATACATTATAAAAATCGATATTTTTTGTTATCGTCATCGATGATTTTGTTATTGTTATTGATGTTTTCGTTATAGGTATTGATATTTTTTGTTATAGGTATCGATATTTTTGTTTTTGTTATCGTTATCGATATTTTCTCTGATCATAATCATTGCATTGTTATACAAATCTTTTCTGCTGTCATTATTGATGTTATAGCTAACGACATTGTTGACTATAGAAAATCTCTTATCCAAGGCCGAATACAGCCTGATCTGTGCATCGAAGGCGTTCTTAACAGCGCTTAGTTTAGGTTGGGTATAGTGGTTGCACAAATACTTAGGCCACTCAGCGCTGTTGTGATACCATTTGTGCCCTTGTGATGGAACCTTTGTATTTTCTTAACGAAGCGAATTCCACAGAGTCGAGATTGGCCGAACGCCCGGGGAAATAACTACATAAACTAAACTGTTTTTTCTGAGGCGGGATGGTTGCAGACGAAGCTCCAGACACCCTCCATCTCTTTTTTTTGTCGCTGCAGCTAAGATATATGTAAATCGTTTGCGGCATTCCCATTAAGCACTGATAATGGGACGAACCATCAAAATTAGGGTCTTAAATATCTTTTCGTTGATACTTGGTCTTATTCTGCTTAGTAACCAAATGGGTTGCTCCCATTTCCCATCTGACGTTTGCCAATTCAATGAATGCTAACCTGATTCCTTGTATTTCATGGAGGTAGAGGAAAGACTGCATCTCCCGTAGGGCTAACTCGACGTAGGTTGCTTCCCATTCTTGCGAGCTCGACTACTGTTGCACTCAAGGAATCTAATAGCAGCTTGGCCACGGGGTCAAAGCTTAAGGTTCAAAGAGAACTCTCAAGCTTTGAGTCATCCATAGACCCATATCCTGCTCTGTATGGTTTCTACATTCGCTTCCCCCCACATCGCTTACATTCATTCCAAAACGGAATCTTTTTCTTACAGTTTACTATTAATAAATATGCACATATGCATAAAAATAAACCAAGAAGGCAGCAAAACTAAATCGTAAACAATGTGTAGGAATGTGAAAAATATTTCTAGGAAGCTAAAAATATCAGTAAACATAAAAGAATTTGAAAAAAAAAAACAAATCAAGACACTTATCGGTTGTCATTCAGCAGCTGTAGTAACCGCCACACGGCTGGTGCGCAAACATAAACGTTTTGCTATGCAAGCAAGCGAGCGCATAGTTGAGCGGACAAGTTAGCAATGCGAGCAGTAGTGATGTGCTTAATTGTCGGTACTCAATACTCGATACCCAAAAATATTTCGGTACCCAATACTTCCTTTTCGGTACTCGATACCTTTACATTAAACTTTCGCCATTATACATATTTCAAGTTTAGAAAAAAATCATTTCATTGCTATTTTATATGATATCGGCAAAAAACTTCGACTCGGGCAACAGTAAAATATTTGGGGTATTCGCACGTACCTGGTTATCAGGTTTTCTGGGTTAAAATTAGTATTTTGTTGTAGTAAATTGAGTAAAAATATGTCCATATAACCAGGTCCTGATAACCAGGCAAGTGTGAATACCCCAATTATCCAGGGTTTAGGAAAAATGGTTTGACGGATGAAGAGAAGCCTCTCCGGCCTACGAATATAATAGAGGTCAACACACCGAAGCCAGGTACTCGGTAATTTAGTGCTTGTAAAATAATGTTACACAAACAAAATGTATGGAGAAAAATTACCGATGACCAAGATCGGTGTGAAGATCACTACTATCGTCCGATTAATATAGAACAAAAATGCTACAAACAAGTAAGAGTTGATCTGCATTATGGCGACGAACCGATATACATATTAAAACATTTTTCATTTCAATCAATATTGAAAGCTCCTTTGGCCCCTACAATCGGCTTTTGATAAACGAGTCTCCCCTGAACCGCTTTTTCCATATTTTTGACCTTTCGGTACCAAGTATCGGAAGTATTGGACTCGCCACATCACTAGCGAGCAGCTACAGAGCGCCATGAAGTCGAGCATTGCAGCAGCACCCCCGCCTGCCTGCCAGACGATGCCCGAACTTTCCCCACCGACATGGTTCAAGGCGAACTTCAATGAAACTGGCTTTGTGAGATAACTATGTAGAGGTGATGGCGCTGTCACTGTCGCTGGCGCTAGCGTATTGGGCGCACCTACATACAACATAAATACATAAATATCAACATCATACATCAGCAACAAAAATGAACAAACTAGCACGCAGACGGACAGCCAGACACGCAGATAGTTTTGTACAAAGTGGTAATTGCTGCAACAACCAAAGCAATAACTAAAGTCAACAACAATAAAAACGACTGCTACATACATAGCACAGACAAACAACAACGCGTATTGGCAGTCATGAAGCTGTTGGCCATCAGTCTGCAGACCTGGTCTGGTGTCTGCAGACGAAAGCCTGATCCAGCAGCAAAAACACAATAGACAGAAAAAATGTGTTGCTGTTTTTATTATTGTTGTTGCCGCATTTGTCGCACGTGTAATTCATGTAATTGTAGGAGCTGTTGCTGCTGCTGCGGCTATTGATTGCAACACAGCCAGACAGATTTTTATGATTGAAACATAAAATCGTGGTATTCTTCGCATGCGTGGATGTTGCAGATGACAACAACAACAACAACAACAACCACACCCAAAAACAGCAACAACAATCATAAACTCAACAACAACTCACTTAACTTGCCACGAATGCATTTAGGCATTCAATGGCATGTGGCATGTTTGTATTTACATTTTAGCTGTGCGTTTGTTTGCCTCCTACTCTCGCTTTTGAAGTGCTGCTGCTTTAGGTATGTACGTTACCCGAGAAGTAACCAATATGTTGCCAGCCAGGCAGCATGCGTAGCCTGTGGTTGCCTTGGACAGCTACAAATTTACATTACGCGTATGTATGTATGTTATACACATACATATGTATTGCGTGTGTGTGGCTTTATGTTTACACTAATCCGCCACAGCCACTTAAGTGTTGCTTCCATCACTTCTGTGTAGCTCCTTTTTTCTATCTCTTTTGCTGTTTGAAAACATCTTATACGACTTGCTATAGCTTCTCAAAGATTCAATATCTCTGTGTACATATGATTTCAGCAACACCTTAAGTAGACACAACAATTTGGCAGTGAATAATAGCACAAAAACAAAAATGTAGAAAAAAATGCCTCAACATCGATTGCTTTGTACGTAGTCCATTTGTAGCTGATGCGTGAAGCCATCGCCGACATAAGCTTTCAAACTTTTGGGAAGCCCAGCAAGAATTTGAAATGAAGTGGAAATGGATAATAGCAAAAGTATGGTAATCGATTTAAAAAATTGCAAAAAACAAAACACACAGCACGCTAAAGATGTTAAGCGCCAATGCTACGGCAAAAACATAGCACTTTTTAGTGCAAAAAAAAAAGGAGAGAGCACACCTAACGAGTAGAGTGGCGAGACAGTAACTCGGCCGTGTGTTGGTTACGTATAAACAGTGTGGGGAGTAGCCGACCGAGTCATCGGCCGAGCAAACTGAAGAGGTGGCCGCTAGAAACTATACATATGTGCTTTTTTTTTTTTTGCTATTCAGGCAGGTTCTGTAATTCACTTCCGAGTGAATTTCAACCCCATTCAATTTGAATTCAAAGTGACTTTTGTATTATGTATGGTAAAAGCTGGTCGAAAATCTGTTTAAAACTTAGTCTTCCCCGATCCATTTTAATCAATCACTGCATTAAAACTGAACTGATTGCCAAGTAGCAAATAACGTAAAAGCACCTTCCCGTCCACACAATCGACCACTCTATTCCTTACGTGTGTTCAAGGCATAAATGATGATAGTATCGAAAGTCAATCATTACAAGGGGGTTGTATGCCAGACAATGAATGCGTTGCTAGTTAGGACGTATTCATACTCAGCTGAAACTAATTAGCTGACTGTATCGTTTTTAGAACCTTCTTTTGTTTTGGTTTTCCAAAGCTTCCGGAGTTATGCTCCCAGTGGAACGGTAAAATGAAACCGCTATGGAAACAAATTTTAAAAAAATATTGGTTTTAAAAGAAAGAGGACGGAGAAAGCGTTCATACAGATTTAGAGTTGAGCTTATTTAAAAAATTTAAATAAAAAACTTGCAAGTTAAACGAAGTATTACAGTAAGGGTCTCGAACGAAAAATATTTGCAAACAACTTTAATACAGAAACAATTTTAACAGAGTTGCCATTTTTTAAGTAATATACATTTATTTAATGCTATATTCTTTTACCTTTGGATAGGTTGTCTGACAAAGCTAATATTGGCTAGTTTGTCTGAGAGTACTGAGAGTTAAGATAGTTTGACACAGACAGATTGACGGCTATCGACCAGTTGAGATGAAGTAGCACTGGGCCATCAATGTTCGAATTTTTACTATGCGATTTCTGTCACATTTCAGTAGATTTTTAAATGAGCACCACCAACAGAGTATCAAAAAAGCAACAAGCTGGTAATTATTTGATTTGTAAGAAAAACTCTTTAACTTTTTAAAACGAAAAAAATTAGTTGCCTTAAGAAAATGCTTTAAAATATTATTTGATAGTGCCCGCCTCAGTAAACTTTTTTTATTATTCAGCTTCTTTTCTCCCTTTTTCTGTTGAAATTTTTTGTTGTCTAACTTAGCGCTTCAGTAATTTTGTGTTCCTCAGTCTATTTTTAGTGTCTACCACACACTTGCCGCTTGCTGCTTCCCTTCCCATTTTCTATGCTTTTGCTCCCTCTTTCAACGCATTGTATGCTGTTTATTTTTTATGAATAATGAGCCAACGAAAATTTCCGGCAACCACAATTTCTTATGACGCAGCAATCAACAAGCCGAAAATTCCATTGCGCTGCTATGACTCCCCTAAGTGGATTGACACAGAAGTGAAGGCAAAATGAAAATGATGTGAAAAGAGCAAATGAAAATCTATACCATGAAGTAACACTTGTATAGAATGGTTTCATATAAAAACATGGCGTTGATACTGGATAATAATCTTTCCGAAGTGTTTTGATAATCTGGACTAAATAGTACTTAACTAATAAATACCGATTACTTCATATTAGGCATGTTTTCTATCGAAAATTGTTGTTAAAATTTGGAAAAGCCAAGTACATATGGATGTATATAAAGTGAGACTTGGATAACGTCTACCAAGACCTATAGGAAATATTTGTCTAAATACAGCCGGTAGCACATTTGTCTATTTACAGGCCTAAACGCCTCGAAATAGTACTTACATAAGTATGTATGTACATTTCTCATAAGCGCAATGTCACACTGGCAAAGTATTTTCAACAATGGCAGCCTAATTTTCGGAGTGTATCAGTTCTTCCAACAGCACTCCCGCTTCCATTCACCGATTCCACTTTGCACCCCAATTTCTTTTGACCGAACTCTCAACCTCTCAAATGCTTGCTTGCCTTGCCGTATCTCTAAAATTGTTTTGTGATTTGTATTGCTTTATAATTTTTTGTTTAACTTTACTTGTTGACACTGCTTCCGTGGATGTTTGTGCTGACTTTCGTCGTTCCCCAGTGATTTTCTTCGAATATTAATGAAGTTATTTGCTTTTTTTTTGTTTTGAGCTATGCGAGCGTCCAAGACCAAGAAAGCGTCCGCTATTGTGAAAGCAGATATTTTATGGAAGTGATTTTTGTAGTTGTGCTTATGTTTTATTCCCATTATTCGTTGTTGCTTTTGAGTATAGCAAATTGACAGTTTAATTTAACTCATTTTTGAAGTGGTGCTTAAGCAGATTGACATGTGAGTTAATGTAAACAAAAAACCATAACAAACAAAAAATAAAGCCCTACAAAATTTTGTAATGTAAAAAACAAAAAAATTCAACGCTCTAACATTTTGTAATGAAATGAGAAAAACGCAAAAAAAAAATAAGCAAACGTACACTTATTAAAAACAACTAAAATAGACACAAGTTCAGCCGTTGAGCTGTGATAGGTACATATGTAGATGTCAAAAGAAATACTTTTTTTAAACCAATTGCTTAATATTTTTTTTAGTTTGCAGGTTTTTTCACTTATTTACTTTTTTGTGATTTCTCAGTCCTTTATATGAAATTTGTTTATACTTTTTATATACCTTTATCTTATTTTAACTTTTTTATATTTTTATTTCTTAGATTTTTATATTTTTTTGCATTTTTTTTTGTAAAATTTTAAAGTTTTTAAACTTTTTATTATTATTTTCGTTTAATTCACTTCTGTTGCTTAATTTTTTTTTGTATTTATTTACTTTTATTAATTTAAAAAATTGAAACTTTTTCTATCTATTTTACTTTTTTCTTTTGTTTTATTTATTTATTTTAGTTGCTTACTTTTAACATTTTTGTTAAATTGATTTTTAATTTTATTTTAATATTTTTACCTAGCTTTCAAGATTTCACAATTTATTTATTTATATTTAACATACATATGTACAAATATACTTAATTTTCTACCCGACTTCACAAAAAGGGGAATGTTATCAGTTCGCCGGAATATTATTATTTTTTTCTTAGGTATGTATGTTACCTCATAACTTTGGACCACGTTAACCGATTTCGATAATTCATCGATTTTTCATCGGAAAGGTGGTACCTCAAGGGTGGTCCCATACGAATTTTGTTTAGATCCGATAATTGGATCGTGAAGAAATAAACGATAATCTTAAATTTTTATATGAGAATTGAAGTCGGTTTTGTTTTTTTTGCTTAAAAGTTACTTGTATGTAGTTTTATTTTATGTATTTTTTCTTTTATGTATTTCTAACCTTTTTAATACATACATATCTATAAATTTTCCCCTCCATATGTGCATAGATAAGTATGTACGTATATATGTATTCTCTTCGCAAGCCGCCGCCGCCGCCGCCACCACCAGCAACGCCCAACCCACCTGACGTGAACGCACGCCCACAAGCCCACTGACTCATTAACTGAATAATTTAGCCACCCACTGATGAGTGTTTTAATTGAAAAGTGCATAATATTGCACTAATGTGTTGTGTGTTTCTGTAGTTGTTGGTATTTTTGCAATTTCAAGTAAACATTTTTGCGTTGTGTGCATATCTGCCTTTTGCATTACCTTGTAATGACTCACACACGACGCTGAGCGGCAACATTGTTACAAAGCAGCCAAAAGTAAAAAAAAAATAGCAAAATATTGTCTACGGCTCAAATTTGCAGCAGCATTTCGTGCGGTGAACGGCAGCGAGTTGGGCAGATGTGCAGTGATTAGAGAGGCAAGATTAAAAAGAAAATGCTTTTCTCAGTCGGCTTTGATTTTTCTCTTTTTTTTTCTTCTAGTCTTTTCATCAGCCATTCAAGTGGGCCGGCAGTGATTGGTTCTATTCATTGCAGCCACTAGGCTGCAGCCTCAAATTCCAAATCTGTCTCAAGAATTTTGTCATCACATCAGCTGTTGGCGCTGTAAACAGCAGGGACGCAGTATTGCGGCGAGATCAAAGTTGCCCTATCTCATTTATAAAAGTTTGGATTTTAAGGGGCTACACGCAAGTAGCCCAACTTTTGTGTCTTTGGTGGAAAGGTTCTTAAAGCCCGAATAAATATACAGCAGATATTCGAGGGCTTCAACAGCGAACCCAACGAAGCTTCAGTTCACTATTTAGTCGAGAGTGTTTTTCCTTTGCTCAAGATTTCTATAAATTTCTCGCCTCTTCGGTAAACTTCTTAGAACACTATCGAGTTCTAGAACATGCTCAGTGAATGTCTCAATGTATACCTGTTTGATGTTTCTAATGCATGTCCGCTGGAAAAGTACTCCGTTCTAAGCATTGAGATCTTCCACAACTGAAATTGTGGACTTATAGAGGTAATCTGTGAATATCTGAAAACGTATTTTCTCGCTTGAGTAAAGTCAGCGATCTCCACACCGGGACGTCTGTTATTTCAGTGATAAGTTGACTTCATGCCCCATGAAAAAGTTTGGAACGGAATAGACATCCTAGGTGCTAAGTTTGGTGGTTTACTTCTTAATCATATACATCTTTTATATGAGGTCCACGATATCAGTCGACCAGTAAATCTTCGTATTTCGTTGTCGTTCTGTCTATCGATATGTCTAACAGAAGTTTAGACAAAAAAAGCCACTTCAAGTTTCAACAGACCAGATTTTTCTTTGAAATCATACTCTCCATCCCCTTCATCATTCTGATTACTCTTTGTACGGATTGACTTTACGAGCAGACATCGAAACAAACTCCCCTTTCTATTTGCTTTCTTGGCTCATTTGCCTTCTTTGTCCACCTGAATGGGTTACGATACGAAGATTCTCCTTTCGAATCGTAATATTTTGTTCCTATCGAGATAGACGTCGCACTCGGAACAGCAATGGGCAGGGGTTATTCGTCGTTAGTTCTGATAGCTTTAACAGTCAGTACTGGGAATCTCTGTACGTTGCCAGGCGGTATTTTGTCTTCAGTCCATTCATCGTTGGACACAAATCTTTTTCTAAGGTAGATGGACTGACAATTCCAGTAACGGCTCTTAAGAGCTCAGTTCAGAAGGCTTTGAAGCTATTTACAAGCTCAGATATGGTTTCCCAAAAAATTCTCATATTTATCTCCAGACATTCGCTTTTCTCCGATAACTCTTAATAACAAAGGTTTCTCAAAGTGAATAGTTCCGCTTTAAATTCGGCATGAGACTAGTCTTTCTTGACATCTGAGGTCGAATAAATGCCATCGGCTCTCCTTATTCACTTCAGAAGTAATTCTCTTTTTATTCTCAGGCAGACAACAAAACCGAACAGTAACTAATCTCAACTAGAAAAAATATAACCACTGGCCTTGTTCACGCGTAACCCATTTTGGTGGTAATTCTCTTGCGAACACTTCAGCCGATTTCCTCTATTTAATGTTCATTTATGTTATACACGCCAATATCTCACTCCGACTATATTATTTATTGACTCACTCATTCAACCAGTCATTCACTCACCGATTCAATCAATCTTTAATACACTTTTCAAATGATTCAGTGTTTTTAGTACAACTAAACATCGACTTTTTTTCTCGAAATTAATTTTCGCTTTTGTTTTGCTTAACTGGCTTTTATGAATTTATTTGATTGGCAATCGATTTGTTTACGCTTTTAGTTTTGCGCATTTTCATTTCATCTGAATTATAGATTTTACTGTCTGTCTGTCTGTCTGCATACTACATATGCACATTACATACATATATTTGTGCCAGTGAATATGATTTGTTTATCTGTTTACAAAAAATTTTTAGTTGTGCTATTTGAAATGGCGAAATTATTGCGGAAGAATTAGCGCGTCACGCTAT